GATAAATTGGCAGTTAGATTAGTGAGTGGACAAAGTGAAGAAATTTGGTTTGTAGTTTTGGATCAAGATTTAAGTCCTTTTGACAAGCAGCATAATTCACCAAAAGTGTATTTTCAACAAGAGTCCAACCTTGTTCATTATATCTCCAAGGAAGATCCTCCATCAGTTTTACAGCACTATCGTAATTTTTTCGATGACTAAAAAAAATTGAAAAAATGAATATAGAAAGATTTTTCCTTAATAGGAATAATATGTGTAGTATAATAAATAGTTCTTACAATTGTAATGCTGCAACATCTGCTTGTAAACGTAATGAACTACGAAGCCTTGTACTTCCCTCGTATGCTTTCAATGCTCTATTTGTCAAAGACTATTTATATCATATCATAATAGTATAAACATTGATCTGAATAAATTAATATAAAACATTACAAATATACAAATATGCAAATATATATATATATGGTGTGTTTGTATTTTAATATAATATGAAAAATGCATTATCCAAATTACTTACCAAATATAATAAATCAAAATCACTAATTGAAGCAATAGCTTTTTGTAATTCATAATTTGTAATAGTGAATATTTTTTTCTCGTTTTCCGAATCAGGAGAGGCAGGAGGAGTAACATCTCCTAAAGAAGTTGTAAATGGAACAATAGAAGGCAAATGTCCATGACGAAGCCCTAATTTATCCAACTATAGTATAATAGTAAAAATAATAATAAATGATAATTGTAATGAATATAAATATGAATAAATAAAAAATTTACTTGTTTCCTAGCCAAATCTAAAAGTTCTCCTTTGGCAGCATTAAATGATTTAAATGCAAGATCATCCAATGGAGTTAATGGTGCCAATTCTTCACACTCATTGACAACACTCATACAAGAAGAAAAAATCCACGATTCCAAAAATTGTTCGCCAATATTAGCTTGATGTTCTCTTATTGCTCTTGCAAAAGTAGAAATAAATAATTGGGCCCTTCTACATATATCAACTGGTCTTTGTAGTCTGCCTAGCAATTGACATTGTCTAGCAAAAAGATAACATCTAAAATCAAATTCAGGAATCGTATTTTGCATAATAAGATCACGATATTGTTTTTTTTTAACATCTAAAATATTGGCACTATCATCTTCAGGTTCTGTTGCACCAAAACTACCAAACCATGCAAGTGCCCTATCTAATCAAAACAAATAAATAAATTTTTAAATATAATGATATAAAAATAATAAATACATTATACATATGTATATATGTATACCTTTTAGAACTTGAAAAAAGGAAGCTTCTAACTCATCATATTGTACTAAAGCTTCTTCACACAAATTCATTATTTCAAATGTCAATGCCAATCCTTCCTAAAAACAAAATAATTACTCAAAAATCCAAAGCCTAAACACATCTTCTGATTTCGTAATGTTTTAATCTCTTACCTTTAAAATAAAAAATCTACAATAATTCCAGCCAATCATACTTCTTTGAGAGTCAAACCGGCGTATATCTTCTTCATATTGAACTACATGTTGATCAAAACTACTTAGT